CCAACTTGAGCTTCCAAAAGGCGGCTTTCTGATGCCCCTGAGCTCTGTTGGTAGCGTCCTTTCCGGCACGTGTCCCTGGACCTTTATGAAGGACGACTAGGACGGTCCTGGCCACCCTGCGGCAGCTCCAACACGTGCTTGGTGTACGTGCACAGGAAGTGCTCAACACTGATGTGCAAACAACATACATGGTGTTTCACTCCGATGCCGCGCATCTTGGGGCGCATGTTCCCCCCCACCCCCAAAGAGAATTCTCTCCCGGCTGCAGAAAGACAGAGCCTGTGATGAGAGGTAGGAGGAGGGGGAAGAAAGAAGAAGAAAGCGAGACGGGGCAATACCGAAAGCTGAAATGACTAGCATCAGTCGGCATCTGTCCTCACAACCAGCAGAGAAGGGAAGTGGGGTGAGGCAGAGAGAGCTGGGGTCCGGTGCCTGGAGACAGCCTGCAGGCTCTGGGAGAGCCAGGCCCCACCTGTCTAAAGGAGAGGTTCGCTGGTGCCCGGATCGTGTCCGGGCAGCACCTGTTGTGGTCTCAAGAGACGCCCGGCCCGTGACACGGCAGCACGGCGGAGAAAGGGCGGCTCGGGACTCACTCCGCTCTGCAGCTCCTGGCTCTTCCTGGCGTGTGCCATCTGGGAGCTGTCGGTCACACTGGTGAACTTGAGCTCGTCCGCCCTCTGCCTGTAGTTTTTCTGTTTCCAAAGAAAAGGGACAGCGTGGCATTAGGGGTTGGCTGTCCCCCCCCACGACACTCGTGCTTACGTCCACACGCACACTTTCAGTGACCCGTGCATCTTCCTGGGGGGAGGGGGACCGTCACGGCTGGTCCGGCAGCTTAATCGGGACCACACAGGCCTGAGGCAGCCCGCTCTGGTGAGCCTCTTTTAGTTCCCACCCTTGAGTGACAACTTGAGCCTCTCCCTCAGGAAACCCTATGTTTCACCTTATGCCCTGGGATGCACCCATTTTATAAATCGAGATCTGACACAGGAAAAGTGACATGGAGGGAACTTGGCTTTACAACCAGGAAGACGGAGGCCAAGTCTCGCCTCTGCCCCTCTCCAGCTTCATGACCTTGGGCACCTCTCTTGATCACCCGAGCTGCTCTTGCTACAGCGGCACAAAAAATAGAAGCTGTCTCACTCTGGGGTGGGGCAGAGGCTTCAATGCCATGCTTTCCACGAGCGGAGTCCGTGGACACAGCAACGGTTCACATCAGCCGTCACCGTTAGGCATGGTGCCATCACGGCTATCCAAGGATCCCCTATGCCATAGGGAACGGGGACACCGGGAGCCACAGGTGGGAGGCTGGTGGTCGGGTGGGATCCAGCCTCCCAGTTCCTTCATGTCCCAGATCGCCGAGGTCTCGTCCTCACTGTGTCCCCGCCTCACACCCACAAAGTAACTGGCAAGATTTCAAATGTGCTAATTCTGTCTCCCCACAGGGACTTCTTGTCCCTGCCGGAGGTTAGTTCCTCTGGCTTTTCCACCGGAGGTGCCAAAGTGGACGGGAAGGGCGGCCGCTGGGGTGGCTTCACTGAAGCAAAAGCCTCGTGTGGCGGGGAGAGCAGAGGTGAGCACCACACCGGTTCTGTCAGCAAGAGGGTCATGGGCACCACCTGAACCCAGAGTCAGGTCTGGAATATTGGAGACTCCAAATCTCCTGCCTTTAGGGAAAAAAATTCTCCAAAGAGACTTGTACTTTTCCTCTCTAGTTCCAGTGTGTTGAATGGGAAAACTCCTTCACCACATAATTGAAGGAAGTCGCATCTCCTTCCCACGGTTGGAAATTCCTGATTATTCCAGGCTCTGCATGGGTCAGATCATAAGAAATTACTGAGGAGCCAAGAATCCACCCTGGACAGGGCACAACAGAAACATAAAACAGGCGAAGAGAATAGTGTTTTCCCGGCCCTCGAGGAGCTTAATAATTCGTAGGCCGAGGAAGTGAGACAGAGATGGAAATTCCTAGGGCTGGAGGTCAGCTGGTTGGGTCTCCTCATTACACCTTTATCCAAGGCAAATGGGGCTTGGGTTTTCTCCACTTGGGAGTTCAGCACGCCTGAACTGAGTCACAGGAACCCTGACCCGTTTCTATATCCTAACCTTATTTCTTTATTTCTATATCCTAACCTTGAGCGTGTCTGTGTCTGAGAGAAGGATGAGCAGTGGAAAAATAAGAGTCATTTGCAAAACGTGCTTCGGGGATGCAATAGCACCTAATGGTCAGAAGCTGGGGCATCAGGCCGAACACACTGGGACAGAGCCCAGCTCTGCTCCTCCCTCGAAACTCTCAGTCCCTCTTCCCTCACCAAAATGATCTTCACCGGGGAGTAACAGTGTCTCCTCACACAGGGCCGCCGTGGGCAACGGATGAGCAGTATGCACGCAACGTCCTCAAAGTGGTCAATCAACAACAGCAACGGCTGCGGGACTGTGCAGCCGTTATCACTACTATCACCATTTGCAAAAGATATGCCGACTCAGCCTTCCCGGTCCTGACACAAGAATTCCCTTTGAGGATCCCAAACAGAGCTCCTGAAATAGTCACACTTCCAAATGAGATGCCCTTCAAAAGTCTTCCTCTGCCGGCTGCCAAAGCCCACTTTGCCTGGTGGAGAGAGAGCCGCAGGGACTCTCAAACACTCCCTGTTCCACACGACAGAAAGGGTCAGAGGGCTCGAGTGACTTGACCGGAGTCTGCAGTGAGTCGAAGGCACAGCACCGGGAAGAGTGCTGACCTCCAAACAGCAGACCCTCTGATTCAGGAGGCAGCACGCACGCCTCACGTGACAAACACATTTTCCCACGTGCTAATCGACTGCGTATTACAACCCTTCTGGATTATTCTTTGGCTGCCCCTGCTCCTCTACGTAAACTGCTAAGGCTTCTCACGAACGCCTCCCCGGATGGGGGAGGGCATGCGGAATATTCGTCAGGGTGCCCTGCAGGTGCGAAACGAAGAGGTCCTCCTCTGAGTCCCCCTCAAAACAAGCCGGGGGTCTGGGGAGGGGGCATCAGGGGAAAAGACGGCGTTCGGCGAGTCGCGGGCTGAGAACCACTAGGAGCCGGGGGGGCCCCGAGCTCAGGTTACCTCGCTGATCAGCTGTCCCGCTTTCTTGGCCTGCTCCAAATTGAGGCTCCCCTCCGTCAGCCACCCGACTCCTTTCATCCACGCCAGGTCGGCCTTGTACTGCAGCTGCAAGAGAAAACCCAAGCTGTAATCAGACGTGTGGGTGCAAAGAAGATGGGAGAGTTCGGAAAACCCTTGTTCTTGCATTTGTAGAACTGCCCTCGGCTCTTTCATAGTCGGGCTGGACTCTCCTTGCCAGGCCACTGGCTCACTTTGTAACCAGCAGATCATCTCCCACCTTAGTGCTCAAACACCACAACCGCACCAAAAAGAGGGCTTTTCACACAGTTTTGACTGAACATCGTATCTCTCAACCTGCTAAATTTCCAAGATTTACTTGCCATTTTCAACGCTCGCCTCCTCCTTGCTCAGCGCCGTGATCAACACATCTGGCCTTCTGCACCAGCTCTGAGCCCCAGTCCTCCGCCCTCTTGCCTCTGCTGTCTCGACTGTATCTAGGGCTCAACCTCCCCACCCACCTTCCCTGCGGCCGACACATCTCAGAAGTTCTTCCTAGTCCTCGGGGTCACGGAACAGACTCACGCACAGGTTCCAAATCGCTCTCAAGACGTGCCTGTGCCCAACCGCGAGAGGTGCAGGAAGAGAACCAGCATTAAGTGAGGGCTCACCTCGCTCTGGAGCCCGTAGGCTTTCTTGGCCCACTGAGTCTTCATGTCCTCAGGCAGCACAGTGTATTCATGCAGTTTTTTCCTGTAGTCCAGGTCACTGGCCAGAGCTTGGGCCTTCTTAGCATGCTTGATGTGTACCATGTCCATGGGTAGGTGGAAGCGGGTCTTACTCTCTTCAAAGCCTTTCTTGTATTCGACCTTGAATGTACCGACAAGGCCCATTACTTGAGGTCTGCCTTTGCAGAAGCGGTTCAAAACACAGAAAAGCAGCCCGGGCTTTCATGAGGAAACGACAATGTCACTCATCTGTCAGAAAGGTGGGACCCAATTTCTGGCTCGGGAAGGCGGTGCTGCTGAGGAGCTGAGGCCCCACGCTGCTCTTGCTCTGGCAGGAATGCCTCTCACCAATATGAAATCTTTCTCCCTGGCTTCTCCAGGAGGAGAATGCTCGATCTACAGTTTCTGCGGAACCTTTACGAGGCAGAATAACAGAGCTTGGGCTGCAGAGCCCGACAAGTCTTAGGTCAGACCTGGTCCACCCTTTGCCAAGTGGATGACCTCTGGGGCTCATGTTCCTCAGGGGACTATTGCGATAAGCAAGCAAGATAGCAGCTGAAACCTGCTAAGTGCAGGGACTGGCACAGAGCAACCACTTGGCAAACGTTCCCAATGAGGATGGCAATGACAGTGGTGATGTCGGTGATGACAGCGGTGACAGGGGTGACGGTGGTGTGGTGGTGAGGAAAGGTGGCATGCCACAGCGGAGTCAGTATGGTTCCAGAAGTTAGACTTCTAGGATCCAATCTCTACCTTTACCACTGACTACTACACAAGTTTGGGCAAGACACCATCCTTTTGGCCCCAACTCCTCCCGCTGAAAATAAGAAGTATAATTCTGTTCTCTGTCTAACCTGCAGCCAAATTCTCAGTGTCTCTGTATATTTCACGATAACGCACTTCACAGGACGTGTTCTGTAGGCACATCCAAAATGGCGACCCAGATGCCAACTCTCTCATTCTGTTTAAACCATGGCTCCTTAATGACTCACCAGGGAATTATATCTGGCTGTGCCACGCAGCCTGCACCAACTTGGAGCAGCCGCTGTGAAGCAGAAACTCAGTGCTCATGTGTCCTTCTGGCCTCCTCAGCTTTGGCAGGGAAGACCTGATCTGAAACCGAGTAGGTCCCTCATAGCAGAACCCTCCCACTCCAAAGGATTTCGGCAGGTGACGTTTACCAAGGTTCATCTCCAGCCACCACAGTCATTTACCAGCAGGGTCATTTCAACTGGTTGGAGTTTAGGCGACTCAGTTATCTGCTAAACGTTCTGAGTATCAAGTGTGTCGTAGCCACAGGATTCATCCAGGACATTGTCACAACAGACAGGGCGCTTGGTGTCTAACTCTCCCCGTAAGAATTAAGCTCCGCTGGGGAGGAACCTGTTATGTGTTGTCCATTCTGATAGCCCAGGTATCTTACACGGGATCTTGCCCGTGTCTTACACGGGTAGCTGCTTGGTAAACATCTGTGGGATGAATAACTGTGGCCAGACACCTTTGTACCTTGAGCAGTAGAAAGAGATCACTGTTGGGGGCCCCACCTCTCATCTATTTTATTTTAATTTTTTTAATGGAGAGAGAGAGAGACACACACAGAGCATGAGCAGGGGAAGGGGAAGGGGCAGAGAGAGAGGGAGACACAGAATCTGAACCAGGCTCCAGGCTCTGAGCTCTCAGCACAGAGCCCAACATGGGGTTGGAACCCATGAGCCATGAGATCATGACCTGAGCCGAAGTCGGACGCTTAACTGACTGTGACACCCAGGTGCCCCTGTTTTAAAAGAACAGTATGCTTTGGCTAGATAAAGAAAGCAAACAAACTTCTCACACCAACAGGGAAAGAAATTGTAGATGGAAGTCAATAAAAAGGTAGCAGTGAAGTAGGTCCTGGAAGGACTCTTAAAGTAGCACAAGCCCGAGAAAGTGTGGAGGACGGAAAAGAGTTTACCTCACTGCTCATCTTGGCAACCTGCAGAGAGTGCAGAAGCCTGGAGTCCGTAGTGCCCATGACTTTGCCTTTTGATTTTTCGTACTCTTCCTTATATTTAATCTTGAGAGAAAGAAAAAGGTTTACTGTGAGGGGAAAGGAAACTCTGCCATCGAAGGGGCTCTGGTATTCACAGGGCAAGGGGAAGAGTTCTGAAAACAACCTCCCCATCTTTCGCGAACCCAGAAGAAGATTAAAGAGGCGTGATGTTTACAACGTTAGCGGTCATTATTTTTTTTCCGCAGGGCCACTGACATTTTATCGGAACCATTTCTTATGCATTTCTGAGTTAATGAGAGAAAAACCTACATTGCTCGCAAGCTCTCCGGAGGCTTTGGCGGCCAGCAGAGACATAGCATCCAGTTTCAGCTCAAATCCTTTCCCCTTGGCCTTGTCCCAGCCTTCTCTGTACTTAACCTGACGAACAGAAACACAGGTGAATAGGAGTCCCGATCCATCTTCCTGCCAAAGGTTACAAAGACGTTTAAAACAACGACGACGACCACAAAGCTGGTTTCTCCATCTGTTTGCAGACCAGAATCTTGCCTATGATGGTCAAAACGGTAACAGCAATTATTAACACGGTTTGTTGATTCCTGAGCTGTGGGGCCGTGCAGGGCAGCGGGGATGGGACGGGACAAAGAGAAGAGCCATGTGTCCATCCTTGCTCTGTTGTTTCCTGATCGTGAGACCTTGGGAAAGGCACATTAGCTCTTTCAGCCTTACTCTGCCATTTGAAAAAAAAAAAAAAAAAATCTCCTATCATCTGTCTCAGGGCTGTTGTGGGGATAAACTGGACATAGAACATGAAAACAGATCCCAAGCTGGTAAAGATGGAAGGTATTGATATTACCATGGTAACAACACCTTCAGTTTATTGGTCCTTCCTAAGTGCCTTCTACTCATCAACTGTACATACGTTGCATTAGGCCTATGAGGCTCAGAGACATCTATGACCTCACACAGGTCACACAGCTTAAAAATCGCAGTGCCAGCATCTGACCTGGGGGATTCTCATACCAAAGCCCATGCCACTGTGTCCCTGCAATAAATGCGTCCTTGGTGGGGGGGGTGATAATTGAATAATTCCATTTTTGGTTGCCTGTCTCAGTGTGCTGCACAGAGCAGGCATTCAATAAATGTTAGTTCCTTTTTTTCTTCTCCTGCCCCCATCTAGAACGAGAAGCCTAATCACAGCCCCCTTGTGACTCCAGGAAAAATCTAGCGACTGAGATTGATCTCAAAACTCGAATTTTCGCCACACAGCAAAGCACCGGTCAGAAGTCACCAGGACGAGGATGACCATGATGGTGATGGCGTGTGTGTGTGTGTCTGAGAACATGCTGTGCACATGCTCAGATCATGAGAATTACATTTCCACGATCAGTTTATCCCCCGTGAACTTCCACAGTCCATGAGACAGCAAAATTCAAAACAATAATGTGATGGGCGTCTCTGATGAACGTCTCTCCCCAAACACAACAGCCGCTGCTTGTTGGGACTGGTGCCCTCACCTTCACATAGGTTACGCACCCCCTACCACGTTCTCACCTCCACTGCTTGCTCACCTCACTGAATAGTTCAGCATTGGTTCTGGCCTTCACCAGCTGAGGTATGTCCTGTGGCAGTGTGTAATTCAACTTGTTTTTCTCATAGTCAGCGCGGTAATTCACCTGTTGGATTTAAAATCAACCCACAGGGTAAATGCAAGGTTTTTATACAGACAGGAGGTGAATTTTGGAGGCAAGCCTCTCTTTTTCACTTTCCCCTTAGACCCAATAGCCGACAAGGAGTTTTTGGAAAATTTGACAAGGAAGCCTGCAAGTTTATGAGTGTTTGAAATCAGCTGATTAAAGAGGTCAAGTGACAAGCAAAACAACTCAAAGGCACACTCTGAGTTGTGAGTGTATAAAATATTTCCCTGTGGTTATTTCACCAACTCTCCTTTGAAGCACTATGGATACAGAACTTTTTTTTTTTTTTTTTTTTTTTTTTTTTTTTTTTTTTTTTTTTTTTAATGTGCTACACCGCTGAACATCTCACTATAGGCAGAGTAGATACTCAGGGAGTAACTATCAGTGGCTGCTCACATTGAAAAAAAAAAGCCATCTTAAGTCACACACAAAAAAGGGCCGGCCAGACATTAGGTGATTGCCAGTGGAAAAATAGAGCATCATCTGAAAAGCATCCTTGGCCCCAAATTGAACCTGAGCCTGATCCAACCTATAAATCTAGCTACTATTTTATGGGACATTTGGAGGCCAGAGGAACATGTGAAGTCCACATAGGGATCGAGTAAGCAAAGTGCAGACTGTGGGAAACATAACAGGATAAACAGTCCAGTTTCTTCAATAAACAACTTGCAAGAAAGAAAAGAGAAAAACAGGAAAACTTAAAGATGAAAAGAATCTTAAAGAGCTATCAGCCATTCACAAGCATGGACCTCATTTGGATCCCGTTCCAAACGAACCGTAAGACAAAATAACTTTATGAGATCACTGGAACATTGAATGCTAATAGGACACTGGTGGCATTAAGAATTACTATTAGTTTTTTGGGGTGATATACTAAAATCATATAAATATGTCTGAGAATTTTTAATCATTTAGAGATTTACCCTAAAGTATTGATAGGTTAAATTAGCTAATCTTTGGTCTTTTTCTTTAAAATAACACAAAATGGGGAAGTGGATGGGCATATAGATGAAGTATGACTGGCCACGAGTTGGTAGTGGTTGAAGCTGAGTGATGGATACACGGGGAGTCGTCACATTATCCTTTCTACACTTAAATATATTTGGAATTTTCCATAATAAACAGTTTACATTGAGGGGAGGTCATTTCATGGTTGTCACAAGACATAGGTCGCCATGAATGAAAGCCAAATCCTTTGGGAGCCAGATATCCAGGGGTCACAAAGCAATTGTGAGTCCCCCACTAGGCAAGGACAGGTTACTTACATGACTCAGTTGCTGGGCATTGATTTTGGCTTGGACAATTTGAGGGGTGTTGGTCACAGAGCTGTATTTCAATTTGTCGATGCTTTGCCTATAGTTGACCTGGTTAAAACAAACAAACAAAAAACACTTTTCTCTAAGATTTGCTTATTAGTTCCCTGCCCCTAAGCTCAGCAGAGCTGTGATCCTCTGATTACTACAAAAAGGATCAAAGATTCCAACTGGAAACCAACAGACTCTCCAACCCCACAGACAAGAAAACCCCAACACATGGTAGAATTGAGTGACTTTAACAGGAGCACAGTGAGCCAGTGAGCACAGGAAAAGGTGCTCATCTACATTATTATTGTTATGAATCAGAGAAATGCATATGAAAACTGCAATTAGACACCCCTCCGCTTTTGCCTGAAGAGTGAACATTTAAGCCACTGACTCTACCAAGGGCTGGCAAGGATGTGGAGCTGCAGAAACGCTCACAACACAGCTGGTGGAAGTGCGGGTTGGCAAAGCCACTTTGGGACCAATATGGCGCTTTGGCATACACACCCATACCTTAGGTCTCAACAGTTCTATTCTTACATGCATTCCCAATGGAAACACACGCACAAGGTCACTTTGTAATAATTCAAGCCGCCTATCTATGCTTAATGTACTTTTCTATATATGCTTTATGCTTCAAAAGAAAAGAGGTCTTTTTAAAAAGGGAACGAAAAATGCAAGAGGGACAAAAAGTCCAACTGATGCCATAGGCACGTCGAGGTGGGAGGCGAGGGCACATCAGTAGCTCTGGGCGAGGACGGTCTTCGCGTGGCTTCACCCTGTACGCCAGCCCCTGCCTGGCCCTCACTTCCGCCCCGTCGGTGTCCCTGAGAAAATGGCCGAAAGCTTCGCACGTTCGTGAAAGAAGAAGGGTGGGCCGTTTCAGAAGAGAAGGAGGTAAGATAAACCTCCAGCACGGCCTAGTGCACTGACTTCCAGGTTTCCCATCATTTCAAGACACGGGGGCTCGTGGGTTTTCCCTTTGGAAAGTACAATTTGCCCTTCAGAGACTCAAGGATTATTAGCCATTTGCCCATGAGAAGACATTCATTCAATTGTCTTCTTTTCCTCCAAACATCCACTAAGAGATGGATGATCTCCCTCCTAAGATCCACTGTAGACAGAATGCAAATTGAGCAGAGAGGTATAGGAACATGTCTGAGGCCTGACGGCAGGTGACGAGGGAGGGGGTGGCGGTGAGCTGCGCGAGGGCCCAGAGCCCCGCACAGGCGGAAGGGGAGCCGGGATGCAGGCTAGCGAAGACGAAGAGGCTGAAGGTGGGGGATGGCCTGTTCCACGGTCTAACCAAGGCCGGCCCTCAATCCAGGGAAAGGAGGGAAAACTTAACGCACCCCTAACCTATTCCTGACCTTCTTCCCTGCGGCCTGCGTGGTCCCCTGACGCTCATTCATTTGCTCATTCATGCATTCCTTCAGCAAACAGCCACAGAAGGCTACTCTGCACGGAGCGAGCAGACTTGCACAGTCCGTGCAGGTATCTCAGCTGGGCCCTTGCTCCCGGGGCCCCAAACTGACCCGGTGGCTTGTGACACCCGAGCCCCTCTGCCTATAGGCTCCTGGCTAGGCCCTCCCGTCAGCGACACCCCGGTTTTGCTCATAGCAACCAGATCACTGAACACCCCACGCCCAGTCTTCATGCCTCTGTCGTATCGCCTGAAGCCCGGGACCCCGCCCGGTCTCCCACACAGTGCGGCCGCATCCTTCGGCCTAGGTCATGCCCAAGAACGTCACACCCCTTTGCTGTGTCCCCACTGTCTACTGGCACCTCTGCCCAGACCTCCACCTACCGCCTCTGGCCATACTCCTCTGGCCGCTGGCCCTGCCCTCCGCAAGGGGCACCACTGCCCTGTCCTCCCACCAGCGGTCTGTCTAGAGTCTGATGCCTCTCATTCTATCCGCCGGCTGCTACTTCCTGTTGCTGCCTTCATAGGTGACAGCTCACCTCAGGGCGACTTTGCAGCCCAGAGGTCACAAAATCTGTGACAGCCGGACAGACCACTAGCTGGGTACAGGTGAAGGGCTAGTAGGGGCTAAGGGTTTGGTCTCATTGTTGGGGAAGCATTCAGGAGTGGGGGGGGGACTGTGGCAAAGGCCCGCAGCTGCTGCTCAGCTCTGGGAACGAGTTACGGTGCAACAGTGCGGGGCCCAGAATGATCAGATCTTCCAGTTACTCCAAAGAAACCCGAAATCTATTTTATTGTGTCAAGTCTTGCCATTTTTAAATGCTGACGAATAGGGGCGCCTGGGTGGCGCAGTCGGTTAAGCGTCCGACTTCAGCCAGGTCACGATCTCGCGGTCCGTGAGTTCGAGCCCCGCGTCAGGCTCTGGGTTGATGGCTCAGAGCCTGGAGCCTGTTTCTGATTCTGTGTCTCCCTCTCTCTCTGCCCCTCCCCCGTTCATGCTCTGTCTCTCTCTATCCCAAAAATAAATAAACGTTGAAAAAAAAAATATTTAAATGCTGACGAATAGTTCAACGTTTTTAAAGCCCAGTGACTCAAGTGAAATAGAGGGCCATTGTCTCCCGTGTCTCCTCCTTGTACTCACTCCATTCTTGCCTGTCCCACCGCGGGCTAACGACAATCGTGGCTTAAGAATGGTACTTCCCATGGGGCGCCTGGGTGGCGCAGTCGGTTAAGCGCCCGACTTCAGCCAGGTCACGATCTCGCGGTCCGTGAGTTCGAGCCCCGCGTCAGGCTCTGGGTTGATGGCTCAGAGCCTGG